TTTTTTTTTTTTCATCTTTATTTCAACCATTACAATCGCTCTAAATTTTGTAGGAAATCTTATATCGTTATGTGAATTAGTGGTGGTTGAGAAGGAAAGGCAAATTGAAGAGGATAAGTGGGGGCGGTGTAAGGACGGAGGAGGAGGGGAAGAACGGGGAGGAGATGTAAAAAAGGAGAGTGGGAGAAAAGGAACGATGAATAAATGCAGTCACATTGGGGATTTAGACGAAGAATATTGGGAAGGAAAAGGTGAAGAAAAAAAAACTGATGGTTAGCTATTATTTTTCTATTTTTGCTGACTTTTTTTCATCATTACATATCAACATTTTTTGCTTTTTTTTTTTTGTTTTTTTTTTATTCCGTTTATTTTTTGCCTTTCTTATTTTGCCCTATTATTGTATTTTGCTTTATATGTTCTGTTGCTCAATGGATACGTGAGAGACGTTTTCTTTGGTATTGATGTTGTATAAATAGATAGGGGATGTTCGTGTTGAGAATGTTTAAACGGAGGGGAGTGAAGAAGAGGGTTTGTTACCACTACAGTTGCCTTAAGTGGAGCCAACTGGTGGTATACGGCCGGCTATCTGAGGCCCATATTTAATCGTCTTTTTTTTTGTTGTTTCATCACTGCATTATTCAATTTTTAATTTTGTATTTCCAATTTCTAAAAATGGTGGAATCACTGAAAAAGCAGTAATTAAATTTCTGTTTTTTATTTGGAAAACTGTAGTTGTTGGAATATTCATTTGTTTTTGTCTATTATCGTTGGCTAAACGAAATATAGGATAGGGAGGATGGCAATGTTAGCAGAAAAGAGATAGATAAACGAAATAGTCGAGGAAAAAAAAAGGATTGTTTAAAAAAGCAAAGGATAAATTACTTTTTATTTTTTGATCTAAAGAATAGGGCTGCAGGCGGAGGCGAAAAAATGAAAGAAGGAAGGCGAAAAAAGTTTGAAGTCACATTATATGCAACAATTGGCAACAGAATGTATTTTTAAATTTTCTTGAACAGTTTTTTTTTTCACTTTTTTGATTCGGATTTGAAAACGCAAAGCTATTTCTTTTTATCTTTATTTGTTATTTTTTATACATTTGTTGTTGTTCTTGTTATTAATATTTTTTTTTCCGAAAAAAATGTGTCTTTTGTTGTGAAACGCATCTGTATTTTCACTCCTTTGTCGTCAATTTTGTTCTTTTTTTTTTTTTTTTCAGTTGTGCATTCTTATTCAGCTATTTTACAGGGAACGCTCAAGCGTTATCAAAAAGAGATAAGGCAAGTTTGTCGAGGTTTTTTTTATCAAATTGTCTTTTGTCGTTGTGGTTGTTGTTTTCTGGAAGCAATCACGAATTACTGCTATTAAGAAACGGTGTGGAAAAACCGAGGAAGAAATTTGTTGGTTGTGTGGTAAACCAAAAATAAAAATTAAAAAAAAACTGCATTAACGGGGTGCATTAGTTGTTGCTGCCACTATCCAACAATGGCGACAGCCTCTACTGCAAAAATTGTTGACCCGCTGAAAAAGGAACGATCTAAAACATTCCAGGTAAATTTTTTTATCTTGTTAAAAGATGACTAACTTTTTTCTTCTCTCGTTTAGCGCAGCTGTTTGATGGATACTGCTGTTGTTTGTAGAAGGGGAGGAAAAATTTTTTGGTGAACAGTTTAAATAGTCGATGCAAAAAAAAAAAAAAAAAAAAAA